CTTGGATATTATTGCATGATTATTGATGATTGTTTTTCTAGTATTGGAGTATTGGAATATTGTTAGGGATTATTTCCCTAGATCATCATTGGTTTATTATTGCATTATTGGGATTTTATTATCGATTATGAGTATTGATAAATGTCGAGTATTGAGAAATTGATGAGTATTGACTATTGTTTTGAAAGAGTAGCGCCTCAAATATTGTTTTGAAATAAATTTCGAAAAATTTATTCTGATTTTTGGTAAATAAAAGTGGGGCGTTACATATGGTTAGGGCCATAAAACTTATATCCTTTAGAACTTTCCGGATAGCCAATGAATAACCACTAGTTGTCCTAGGATTAAGTTCCTTTTTATGTGGATTATGTACTTTTACTTCTGCTTGACACCCCCAAATATGAAGATGCCTCAAACTAGGTTTCCTACTCTTTCATAGTTCATAAAGTATTTTAGGAACTACTTTACTAGGAGCCTAGTTTAGCAAATATGCAGCAGTCTCTAATGCATCCACACAGAAAACGTTAATGTTGATTTACTCAACATATTCCTAATCATATCCTTTAAGTATGATTTATCCTCTCATCAACACCATTATGTTGAGGAGTCGCAATTATAGTGTATTGCACACAAATATTTCAAATCTCAAGAAACTTTGCAAATGGACAAAGACATTATCCTCTTTCATTGAACTGACAATAATATTCACCAATCTTGGGAGATCTCACAACTTTTACTTATTTATCTAACTACATTTCCATCTCGTCATTGTATATCTTTGGATAGTCCAATGATTGAGTCATTTCATGTAGTAGATAAATATAACCATAACGTGAGAAATCATTTATAATGGTGATTGAATACTTTACATCACCCCATGAAGGGATGTCGAATAGACCACAAAAATTAGTGTACATAAGTTATAAGATTTTAGTGTTTCTATCGGCAGATCTCTTTAATGTATGTCTAGTTTGATTTTCTTTAATTCACTCTATACATACATCTTGATCACTAAAATCCAAATGAGAAATAGTTTCCTTATTCACCATTCTCAAAACTTTTCTTCGGATATGTGACCATAATCTTTAATGCCATAATAAGAAGTTCCACATAATCAAGCCACCAAGTATTATTGGAAATCTTTTATAAATTTGATTCACAACATACAAAAATTAATGTATATCTTTCTTTTCGAATCAATATTTTATTTCGGGCAATCTTTCATGAGGTGGCCTAACTTTTTACAGAAATAACACCTCGTTTCTTTAATTATTGGACCTACAAAAACTTTATGCAAGTCAATCTTCTTTTATTTGCCTTTGTTTCCCATTTTATCTTACTATTATTGGCTCTCACATGAGATATAAGTGAATCAACTCTTCTTTCATTTCATTCATTCCCGCCTCTTCCTGCACCAGCATAACCTTACTTTCCTTCCCTTTTATCTTTAATGGTGTTATAGTTCACCTAGGATTGGCCAAACTCGACCGGTAGGGAGTTCATGATGAATAGAACGATAAATGAGTCTGTCACATTCATTCTCATGTTTGTAAGTTTGGCTTAAATGTTGAACATGTTAGACACGACACCATGAATGGAACGGAATTAGTTGAACTTTTATAGTGGTGAGTTCGATCATGAAACTTTCCACAATAGACTTTTTTTTCCGTAACTTTAAATGGAGATAGTTCCTTGATTTTTAATTTAGGAATTCTTTTGTATATTAGCCTTAATGTTATCCGCCTTGATTAACTTCATAAAATTCAAACACAACCTATTTGATCACTCACATACCCTACGAAGAGTTACCTCTACTTTGGAGTTCTCATCATTAATGGTTGTGGGAGCTTCATCAGTAATTAGAGTCATATCCTAACTGAAAAGGATATGCTCGAACCATTCATTGAAGTTTAGCCAATTGAATTTTTCAATAATAATACTTGACGGAAAAACCAAATTTAAACACTGCAAACTTTGATACATGCTATTTAATTAAGCTTTGAGATAAAATTAATGGATTCAGAAATCTTTTAAATTATATATTTAAATATACCTTTGGGCAAAT